GTCACGCTGGCGTTGCACTAGTACGTCCAGGAACGCCAGCTGACTCTGATGTTCCTCCTCTTCCGTAAACCGCAAGTCCACATACACCGAGTTAAGTGCATTAACCAAGGCCGCCCTCTGGTCCCTCTTAATGACGGCGAAGGTGTCATCCACGTAGCGCGCCCAAAACTTAGGGCGGCACTGAGTCAGCGCCACGTGCCACCCAGCTGAGAGCGTAGTGCTTTTTTAAAAAAGAAATTACTGTGCTTTTGGTGTCTTATGTCTGCCTGTATGTCTGTCTGACTCTCTGTCTCTACCTACCTACCTGTCTGTCTCTATCTCTACCAATCAATCAGTCTGTCCATCCGCCCATCCATCCATCCATCCATCCATCCATCCATCCATCCATCCATCCATCCATCCATTCATCCATCCATCCACTTTAGAAAAGGCCCTTATCCCTCATAGAGGGACTCTGGGAAGCATACAAGTAAAACATATTCAAACATGGTCCTTCGTATAGTGTTCTCAAAGGAGGTGGTATTGGGTAGGCTCTGAATTCATAAATGATGGAGTCCATAAAATACCCTTATACTCCCTGAAGGATATCTGATATTCACTGAAAATCTGCTTTTGCGTGCTGCTGTCTTTTACGCCACACTTAAGTTCTGTATGCCCACAGAATTCCATTTACCTAAGTATTTGAAAGGGAAGACTGCCTTTTAATTCAGCCATAAACAATATATTATTTGGCTGAAAAAAATGTTAAAATGCTGCCCAGCAGCAAACATTCCTTCCTTCCAGTATGTATTAATGATAGTTTAACCCCAAGTATCTCTTCTGATATAGCTACCACTGATTTCTATTGTACTGTCTACATTATACACTTTCTTGGGAGTTCAGTATCATCCGGCCAGTATCTTGTTATCTCTATGACTTCCTTGCAGTGTAAAAGGGCTTTCTTTTTTTTAATGTGAGATAGTATATCCAGATCTTCTGAGTTATGTTTAGGATGAATCTGAGAGATTTAATAATTGCATTGTGCTATACTTTCCATTAAAGAAAATCGTTTTTATGTTTCACAATCTGGAAATATCACAATACCTAAAGACAAATGATTTATTTTCTGGAGATTTGGGAAGGCCAGGTCCACATTGGATGGAGAGGCATCAAAAGTTAAAACCTATTCTTCGAACCTTTGGCTATGGCCAGAATTACTGATACAGCTTTACTTATCTTCTAAAACTTTATCTATGCATAAAAATGTTGTGAGAAACTTTGGTGAAGAATGCTCAACTTGGGTAATTATTTAATGAAAGTACATTTAGAAAAAGTAGAGTGTTACCCTGAAATATAAGACACTATGGTAGCCTTTTTATAAATTAATGAAAAACGCCTGACAGACTGCAATCCTATTTATGACATTTCAGCATTAAGTTTTACGTATGATTGCAAAAAAATAATTAAAATAATTTGTGCACTGAATATTTGTAAATTATGGATTATTAAAAGTCATGTAATCTAGGGTGAGGAGTTTAACAAAGAACTTAATAGGAAGCCTGCATGACAGAGCCTTCTTTGAGGATTGTAAGAATATTGCTTAGACTGAACTTTGTACTATATGGCATTTGTTTGTGAGAAATGCCTATTTATGCACATAGACAGTTACAAAAGATGGTACAAATGGAGCCAAGATTTAAATCGAATGAGAACAGCTTCTGAATTGTAGCTCTCAATAGTCCTTTTTGTGGAAGCTGCTGGTAGATTGTTTTGTGTCTGAATTTCTGTTTTAAAAGAGAAGAGTCTTTTAAAATGAAAGGGAAAAGCCAAAGTATTTGATTTTTTTAAAAAACAGAAAAATAAAATTAGGTAAACCAGCTTTAATTATTTACTTTTATATAACAGCCATGCTTCACAACAGAGAGATAGAACAGAAATCTTTTCCCCCCACTAATGTAAGCAGGGTATTGTGCATTGTTAACTTATACATGAAAGAACATATTTCCAATTAAAGATTAATCTCCCAAGTCATGCTGGGCTCCTGGTGACTTCATGGACATGCCTAGTCAGTTTCCTTGGCAAGAATACAGAAGTGGGTGTGCCATACTGGGATTTCTTTTCTTTTTTACTCCTGCGTGTAGTTTATAGTTTCGATATTCCTTTAAGGCCCAAAATCAGAAGTTCCCAACCTGGAGTGCCCACACCCCCAGGGGATACAAGAAGGAATTTCAGGGTGTGTGGCAAAGAGTGGCTTGTGTCCCTTAGGGATGAGTCACAGGTCACAATTACTTGTGTGTGAATATTAATCAAAAAATTTCCTAAGGGTGAGGGACATAGAAAAAGCTGGGAACCACAGCTCTAGATGTTGTTAGTCTAAAGGCATCCATTTTGATTCTAAAATCTACCACCTTATTGATTCCTATCTTGTATTATGTGGAGGCCATGTAGTAAGGCACTGTTTCCCTCCCTATTTTAAAATCAAAGACTGTTGTCAGACAAATGGATTTTAGTGTTTAGTCAAGCATGTTGTACAGCTATTCTTTTCACTCTTGAATAAATTATTCTTCAAAATAATAAAGGAAAAGCAGTGTGAAAACACAGGAAGGCTACCAATGGAATCCATGCAGCAACTTGAAAATGTTAGTGCAAGTAAATTCCTTGGCAACACACATTTCTTCCATTTAATGGTAAATATAAGTATAAAATGAAAATATAGTCCTAACCATTCTTATTTCTAAGTAAGTATTGTTTGTTTAGAGGTTCATCTGCTCTCGCAGCTCCACATCAAGGCATTTTTGTATCTCTCCAGTTCCAAGAAAGCTTTTTTTATAGATGGTGTCATTGTTGTGGAAAAGTGTCAGCCTTTTCTGAGAAGACCAGATTGGAAACAAGACCAGATTAGCTAATTCTGGCTTAATGTAAGGCTACATTAAGGGACTCTTGCAAGTCTGAAAGTACAAGTATCCCACTGTCTCCTTTACAGTCAGAGCACTTTTTGCAAGGGGGGGGGCAAGGTCCTTCTGAGTTTCCTTCTACATCCATTATGCAGCTGTAGGTTATGACCTCTCCTATATTATTATCCCATAGGCAACATCTCTCTTCCCAAGTCATTCCCATATACTAAGGAGATGTATGCACAAAAATGTAACCTAGGCATTTACTCTTCCATAAATTTGGAACTCTTTTATGCTTTCCATTCTTAATAGATTTTTTTTAAGGTGTTGATTGAATTTAAAATGCCAAGATGAAAAATACTTAGTTACCATTTAATTACCTCACCCATTCCCTTGTGATGGCTACATGTCAAAAGCAGAAGTTAGACAGGGCCATGATTCAGATAATATTAAAAACACATATGTGGCCAAAGTTCTGTCTTTGTTAAAAAAAAATATTGTTTTATTGCTCCAAAAGTGGTATTTGAGGAAAAGGATAGCAGCTGATAACATTACAGTTAATGCTGAGTGAGTGGTAAGAATCAAGGCTTTGATAATGATGATAGTTACAAATATAAAACATATGTGTTTTGTTAATTGCCATCACTGGACAAAATAAAGGTACATAGAATAAATAAGAATGGTGTTGACTGGGATAGGGCAAAGTTTGATCTTCCTGTAAAGTGAGTCAAAATAGATTAAATGTTTAGCTAGAAGGATCAAGAGAAATGAACAGTTTCATACAACCTCTAATATTGCTTTATTCACCAGCAGGCAAAAGCTTTCAGACCTTCCTCAGAGAAACTATTAAATAATATAGCCTTCCTTGGCAGACTGTAGACCTCATCTGTTTTGGAATCCACCTTTATTTATTTGTTTGTTTAATATATTCCAATACTATTTCCCATAAATTCACATTTGGATAAAAGTTTCTTTAGCAATATAAAATCTCTGGGTATTGTTCTTAGACCAATTTTTCCTAGTAAACACCCAGGTCTGACATCACTGCCTGATATCATTTTTAATTAAAAAGGAGCTTATCTAATGTCTTTGTGTAGGAATCTGCTGCCTTTCAATTGGCCAGTTGTTTATTTTTTGTAATATATCTGAATATATAAGCCAGCATGTTATCAAATTAGTGTTGTAATGTGAGGTCCTAAATATTTTAACAGAGTTTACTCTGAACTAACATGTAATTTAATATTAAAACATTGCATGTTCATACTGGAGACATGTTCTATATAATAGGAATACAGATGGTCCTCAGCTCAAGACGGACTAATGGGGACTGTCCATTTTGGTCAGAAGTCATGACACTGATAAGTGAAGTGCCCACGTGATTGCCTCATGACCCTCCACCCCAGCCTATCCAAGCCCCCCCCCCCATCCACCGTGGCATCTGTATTTCCCTTTCTGTATTTCCCTTGCAGTTGATTGTAAGGACAATTGACTGTGTTGGCATTGGAGCAATGAACTTAAAAACGGGTTGTAAGTAGCTTTTTTTGGGGGGGGTCTACTATAACTTCAAGTGGTTACTAAGCAACCGGTCATAAGTCAAGGATTACCTTTATATATTTATAAAAGGGCAAGCTTGCAAATGTTTCCTAACATAAATTTGTTTGAATCCAGGTAGTTCATTTTGGTTTTAGAAGTAGTCAAACTATTGGCTCTATAGAAAATCACCTTGGCATGAAACAATTTAAATGTTGAAAGTGTATTGGAGATTCTTACTGGCTTTATACACCTTTTGATGGACGTATAAGGATGCTGATCATTAAGAGCAGATTGTCTGCATTCTTTTGTATCAGCATTGATTATTTGGAAGTTCCGTATTTTTAATTTGCTTCTAAGAATGGTGGATAAATTGGTTGCATGTATATCAAAATAATATATTGCATACATTACTTTTGAGCAATAACAGCTACCAACTAAATAGTGGCATTTCTTCTCATGTATCTGCTGAATTTTTACCATATACTTCCTATATACTTCCAACACTAGTTCCGCAGTAATCAATATATGTTATAATTTTGAAAATAGACATTCATAGGATTTGAATGTAAGATTGATATGTGAAGCATACTGAAGTCCTAATATCCTAAGTCCTAATGTCAAGTGTTAAAAATGTGATTGTTATTCATTTCATACCCATTGTTTGTCAAGGGTTTGGTTTGTCTTTTAAAGATGTCCACTCTTTAGTTTTAGGAAATGACATACCAGTCACTGCTGCTAATGAAGAAGAGGAAGAAGAAGGAGAACAGTTTGACTTTGATAGCGGAGATGAGATACCAGAAGCAGACAGACAAAATATTTTGCCAATTCAAGAAGAGGCAAATTGTATAGGTACATGATTCCAGGCAAAATAAATCATGAGAATACTACTTTTTGTGAATATGAATTGCCTTTGAGAGTAACTCCATGGTACTTGCAAATATTCATTCTTGGGCATCATGGATTGAACTAATTCGGACCCTCAGAAATTAAAACTGTTCATTGCATGAAAGCCTAAATGAGCTTTGTCCCAGGAAAAGCTGCGTGTAAATTACTCTTAGGGACCTATGCAATTAAGCCACTGTGAGATGACACTCTCTGAGATGACACTCTCAGAGATTACTCCAGTGCCAAGAGATGCAGCATTCTGGAATTCTCATGTTGGCCAACATGTCTACTGTATAAAATTGTCATATTTTCTAATGTTCCTACATTGAATGGTGAGAGTTGTATAATTCAGGACAAGTCACTGCTTGAGTTGCTGAGGTTTTTCTATCTATGTCAGCCTGATTCTCAGTGGAGAGAAGTTTACAAGTCTTAGGATCTCCAATTAAGAACAGCAGCTGACAGCAATTGAAGGCAACCAACCTGAAGGTGGCTGAAAAACTGTGGTATAAACTCAGGCAACAAAGGAGAACAGAATTATTATACAACTATTTTGGATTAAGATATACACATAGATAATGACATAGTGTTATTACTCAGCCTATGCTATATTATACTATACATATATATTAAGTGTTAAGGTAGAAGTTAGGAAAATAAGCAAGTTTATTAAATTTATAACAAAAGCGTTCTAAAGGCTTTCCTTTAAAACACAGGAAAGATAAAAATGGTCTGTTTGTTGGTGATTTGTACTATTTCCCAAAAGACTTCAATGGTTATCAATCCCAGGGGAAAAAAACCCCATTAGATTTAAGGAATTGCAGATAAGTGCCCTTGTGCACTCTGAAGCACCCTTTCCCCTTCTCATCTGAAGCACTCAACACCTCCACGCTGTTCTAAAATCTCAAGGCCAAACAGTTTGCCTAACAGATTAAACATTCAAGCTGTGGATTCTGCTTGTATGCAAGCTAGTTTAAAATAACAGTGCATTCTGTCTAACTATTATTGGGTCTCTACTATAAACACCTATAAAAATAATTTGTAGTCAGTCCTCACCTTTCTTTTCGGGCCACAAAGGCCTTTTGGGAGGGTGTTTTTATTTTTAATGGTACAGGAGGAAACTGTACCTCTGTGCTGAGGTGGAAAAGGAAGGTGCTTTACCACCTGTTGACTGGCTGTAATTTCTCACCATTTCTGCTGGAGTGGTGAACCTGCTGAGTTGTGCTTCCCCTTTCAGCTTGCTTGCTGTTGGTTTGCTGAAGTCCAAGCCCATTCTTCCTTCCCCATTAGCTATCTGTCAGCTGCAAATTCTTTTGTTGTTCTTCCACCTGAAACAAATCCTCCTTCAAACATAAACATGCCCTCAGCATTTTCCTTTTGTAATTGGAAACCAGTGCTCTCCTGATTGCCTTAAAATCCCAGGGGAGAGAACAAGGGGGGGAAAGAGCTGATGTTGGCCATTACGAGGCTTTTCTTCCCCAAGAAGTCAGCTGCTTTATCCTGGGAAAGACGTAGCTGCTTTAAGGAGCTGAAGACCAGTATTATGTAACTAATCCACGTGTGCTCCAAGCACCTTTTTTGCCTGCAGATCTGAAATGCAGTATGTAGAAAGTAACTTGGTTTTTGAAGGGGAGGAGAAGCCATATTGCAGAGGGAGGAAGTTTGATTTTTTTTTTTCATTATGAGAAGAGTTGCTTTGACAGCAGTGTGTATCTTTTGTATTCAAGGGAATGAAAATCTAGAAAACCTAGAAGAAACTGAGAAAATGCAGAGCTCCAAAGCCAATGCAGAGGGCATCCTACCACGGGTAAACCCATACTCTGTCATAACCATTTCGCCAATGCAGGAAAAGGAGCTGTTGCTGTCACCAGAGCCAAGTACACAAGATGGAACTATAAGTCCCACCCTCTCAAGTGGATATTCTGTTCCGGTACCTTGTGGCTATGCTGTGCCATCCAATTTGCCATTGATATTGCCGGCGTATTCCAGTCCTGTTATAATCCGCAACCCTTCTGTGGATGAGGAAGGTAGTGTAGAGCTATGGACAATTATATTTTTAAAAAAACACAATTATTTTCCTGTCAATGGTCCTGTTATTTCTTGGATATTTTTAACCCTCTGTGTAATCCAAAGCTATGCACATTGCTCAGTGGGTTGTACATTGAGTTTTGCAACCCGACACATAGCTTAAATATATTTTGTAATATCAATAAGATTTATGTGGATTGTTAATGATAGTTTTGTGTTATTGACAACTTATTTTTTGTGCTAGAAAATGTCTATTTTATTAGGTTTGTGTTCCTAATAAACTTAATAAATTCTTTTTTAATAGGACCCTACCCTCTTCTCTTCCCCCTAAATACTATAATGAATGTTAATTTAAAATGCTTTCACTTTAACATTACCGTGACTGAGAAATTGTATCATTTCTTTAGCAAGTGTTCATATAGTAGCCGAGGATGGTCATTCAAATTCTCAGAGTTCAGAAGAGCCTCCAAACAGGTAAGTCAAATATTTAATGACATTTTTTTGTGAAAGAGCAACAAAGCTGTAGCCTCAGCGCATCTGGAGCTCAGTAAAAAAAAAAATAGGCCACTGTTTTAAACTGAGGACAGCAGGATTAATACATGTTCAGGTAAAAGTGATAAGATCCTTCCACAGTCCGTCTTTTCATAGTTACATTCAACTTCTTTAGCAACACAGGCCATGGTTAATAATGCCTGTCTGTTTATGGAATGACATCCATCTATGAAATAGATGCTCCTCATCAAGATTGTCCAAAATCTGTTCCAGAAGACTGCTGATGTCTGATTATGTATTATTGGATATAGGCTGGTATATCTGGTGCTACACGTGCTTTATTACTTCTTTGAGGGTAGTAGCAAGCAACTAAATTTCATTTTTAATGTGTGCCGTTGTGCCCATAGTAAAAAATGACAATAAAGGTTATATATCTATCAAGCCGTAGCAATGTCATGCCTATCATTTTTTCCAAAACTATTTGACTATTGAACAAAGCAAGATGCTGCATTAAATGAACTTTCTTGTTTTATATAGATTTTTAAAATCTTTTTTTCTTATAGTTACGATAGTAAATGCTCTTTCTCTTCAATATCTGCTTGTTTCTTCACACTTCAGCCTGACTTTATCTGCTTCCACCTGTGCTTCCACCTAATTATTACTTCGACTCATTTCTGAGTCATTTTCCAAAACCTTCCCTTTATAATGTCTTTTGTAAGCAGTTTAGGTGGACATTGCCCGTTTAGAGCTGCAGACAGTGTTTTTCAAACCAGGGTTCTTGGTGGGTGGGGAATGAAAGGTAAACATTTGCTAGGCAACATGGCCCAAATCAGATTCCTAAATTTAGAGCCAGTGGGAACGTACTGGCAATAATCCACATGGCCTTATTTGAACGAAAGCCACCAAGTCTCTTGAGCCCATGAGAGCAAGGCCGTTTTTCCAAACATTTCTGAGAGAAAGTCCTCCTGTAATGGCTAGAGATTGTGTTTGTTCCTAGCCTGTCTCTTCCTGTGATGACACTGGAAATAAAATAGCTCTGATGCAGAGCGGCATATTAGTTCATCTTTGCCACTTGTTTTATGTGGAGGAGACCATGTTAAAAGCAGCTACTCTATCAGACTATATCAGAGAGAGGAAGTGGTTAAGCAGATTGTTTGTTCAATAGCTTTTGGGCAGTCAAGGCAACCGGAGTGTGATTTTTCACACCTGCTGGTGGATAGCAAAGATAAGGCAGAAATGTAGCCCTGACCATTACTAAACAGACTGCCTTTTACCAGGGCTCTAGAGTGCTTTGGATTTGATCTTCAGAGTGCCCAGATCTACCAGCATGGAATCTATCTACAAAACTTTATAGGAGTGACATATTTTTCTAATTTGGAGATGAAATATGAAGCATGCATAGCTCATTACCTACTCCTATTGGTATCGTATGACTATCATCTATCTGTTGGTTGTATCTTATGATTTATGCCTGTATCTTATGATTTATCACTTTGTTGCTTGCATGTTCACTGAGAACTTAATGCCCTTGAAACAAATTCCTTGTGTGCCCAATCACACTTGGCCAATAAAGAATATTCTATTTTGTTACATGCAAAGCCTCAAGATGAATTGACAACATTCTTTATATTTTAGATGAATAATCATTTCAGAAAGAATACTAGTATAAATATAGGGAAGGCGGGGAGGAAGCCACTTTTAAGGCTTGCTGGACTGCCCTTTTCACCCCACCATTGCCCGGTACTTCAGCATACCTGATTGTGTGAAGTAGAACTGTGATATCTGAAATGCAAACCCCGAGATGGCAGTAAATAGATTCTTATGCATCTTGTTGCCCTGTCTATTAGTGGGCAGCCAAGATAGGGTAGCCCAAAATGCAGGGCCTCCGCAGAAAGGAGAGGAAGGAGAAGACTTTAGGAATTGCTGCTAGCTGCTTTCTTCATTTTCTCACTCTCTTTCTTCCTCCTCCTGGAAGAATGAGGAGAGGGAAAACAAGCACACCTCATTTGATCTGCAAAAATCTGGATGACCTCTAGAGTCTAGACCAGGGGTAGGCAAGCTTGTCTCTTTTATGATTCGTGGACTTCAACTCCCAGAATTCCTGAGCCAGCATGGCTGGCTCAGGATTTCTGGGAGTTGAAGTCCACGAGTCATAAAAGAGCCAAGCTTGCCTACCTCTGGTCTAGACAAAGGTAAGGAGGTACAAACACTCTCATCTGTAGGGTTATAGAGATGCCTGTGAGAGAGAGGCAGACTAATGAGGAGCTGGGAGGGAGTGCTATGCAAATGCAGGGCTTTTTTTGTCATAGAACGCCCAGAATGGAGTTCCGGCACCTTTTTTGGATGGAACCTTGTAGGGTAGGCAAGGTGGGTTGTATGACGTGTGTGAGTTCCGGCGCCTTTTTTTTTTTTTTTAACAAAAAAGCACTGTGCAAATGTATCACTATTTTTGAATGGGAGGCGTGAAGCTATGTTTAGCATTACTTTAGGTAACTTGGGAGATGTCTTGTCAGAGGTCTTGTCTGAAAGGATTGCATTGAAGCCTACAGAGCACTACTTATGCCCCTACCAAAGAAGATTCTTTTGTGTGTTCACTTTTTTCCTGCACATTTTTAAGCCCTATGGATTCAGGCTTCTTTGCCACTTTACTCAGAGCAATTTAGATTTTTTTGAAGCATATTTTAAGTAACAATATATTGTCGAGGACAACATTTCATGGAAGATCTTTTTAAATTCAGTAATTATCATTGTAGTAATGAATGGAATTCCATATTCTCCTACTCTCATTAAACTTAATGGAGTTTCCAAGTCAACATGCAAGGAAGATTGTGCTTCAAGTCAGTTGAACGCATGCAAATCATTTTTATTTTCTCTCTGTGTGCTTAATTTATAGTGAAGATAATCAGGGGAGCATAGATGAGAATGCCTTGGCCAAATGGGTGGCTGATCCTGCAAATACAGAGTGGATGGAGAGTGAGTATGGATGACCAATAATTCCTCTGCAGGAATTTGACAGTCTTGGGTCAGTGGCTCAGATTGCTGCATTTATCAGATTGTTTAATTATACAACATCTTCTGGATGCTTGGACTGTTTTCATTATTCAGATGATATTTATAAATTCCAAGTAGGCAATGCAAAATTGTCTGCAAAACGTGTCAGTTTGAGTATGTAATAAACTGGTTCAAGAAACTTTGCGCTCTTTTAATCACAGAACCATCCTGTTCCAAGATTGAAAAGCTTCTAAATGTTTGAATAGTCTGTTTGGTGCTGGGGTGGGAAATTTCATATCATTTCAAGCTTGTAACAGTTTGAAAGATTATATTTTGCACGCCCCGAATTCAGAGATTGTTTCTCTGTTTGCAGAAACGTTACAGTAGTTCACAAAAATAAATATTGTATTATGTCCAATCGTATCTTAGTACTCTTAAAGAAAAATATTTGTTAGTTGCTTGATAAGGAAATTATTTACATATGTGAGTTAGATGAAACAAATAAATTGAAAGGCATATATTTTGTACAAATTCAAAGGTATAAACAAAGCCTGAAAAACAAAATGTTGCATTTGATGTGTGTTTCCTTGTATTTCCCAGTAAATCTGGAAGAAAACTTCCTCATTGTAAGGATATCTGAGGAATTTAAACTTTGAAAATACTAACTTGAATTGACTTTCTGAAATAATATATGCATTAGATATTAATTTCCCTTTTTAATGGCATTTACTTCTTGGCTCAAATCTAACTTGCTTTTTGTGAATATTTGTTCCTTTTTTTAAAAAAAACTTTATACTGTGATAGAAATGAGAAAGAACATATATGAATTCATAGACACCTGAAAGTGTACTAGAAACAGACAAGAACTGAGCACATGTGCTACAGTTTAAACAGTGCTCCTGAAAAGGATGTAAAATAAAAAGGAATTGCTCTCTGTAGTAGTTATACTTAGGCTAGATATTAAAGAATCAGTGCTGAAAAAGTAAATTGTCACATGAACAATTGCATAATGTGAGGAATCACAACATAGAAGATGCATTTTCAACTCTAAAATTCCTATTTAGTTGTTTACTACTAACACTGCAATTATGCAAATGTATTCATTAGAACATATGTTTATAGCTTATGTATCTAAGATGCTTATTTAGATGCATAATCCATCAACATATGTTCTAATGAATGCATTTACATAAGTGCACTTTTAAGAATTAAACAAATCTTTGCAGATTTATTTGTAAACAAGAGTATTTCAAAACTTTAGGCTTTCTGCAGATTTCTCCTAATGCAAAGGAGAAATTTGGGTAGTGCAGGAGAAATCAAAAGGCTGGTTTAGAACATTTTTATTTTCATCTTGTTAACTTAAAGTTGCGAAGCAGTATCAAATGAATAATATGCTTCTGACTAGGGAAAAAAACTGAATATGATATGTATGTTTGTGTGTTCGTGTATTTACCTTTTTTATTGTGGCTCTATAATCTATCTCTAGATGTGTGTCTTACCAGTTTTAACTATTTTTAAAGGAATTTCTCTGGTTACAATGCATTGAGAGTTTTTTCCCCTTTGCTTTTAGATCCTGATGAAGTAATATATGATGATGTACCAAGAGAAAATTCAGACTCTGAACCAGGTATAAGTTTAATGTTAAAGTTTAAAGTTTAAATTCAATTTTAATTAGTAATATTAGAGGGGAAAATACTGATAGTCATTCCAAGTGGAAGAAATATTTAACTTTTCCCTACCTCTCCTTCTACAATATTTCTCATATTTTATGTTGTTACCATGTAGAATGGGGATCCATAATTTCCAGGTCAAAGGCTTTGTTTGGCTTTAGAATAACATGCTGGGGATTATGCACCCAAAATGATGACTGGGGCCAAATAAAAATGAAAATGTATTTCATTTCCATGCAATTAAAATTAATAAATATGATTACTCTCCAGACATTTAATAATTCAGTAATTGCTAAAGGCTTCTGAAGGTTCACCAAGGACTCTGGATTGTGTACCTATTCTTCAATTCTGTATTTATATGCAGTACAATCAAATTTTACTGAAGTGAAAAGTTTGATTTGAGGTGGATTTAGATCAAGGAAATAATTAGACATGTGCAACACATACTGTGTTAAGGTTAGAATGCTTTTATTTATTGGTTGGTTGGTTTAAATAATTTACATGGCTGCCTATCCCATAACAGTGACTCTGGGCAACGACTGTATTCCAGAACACTGGACGGTTTTGTTTTTCTTCCTAACTTATGGGTAGACCAGGGGTAGGCAACCTTGGCTCTTTTATGACTTGTGGACTTCAACTCCCAGAATTTCTGAGTCAGCATGGCTGGTTCAGGAATTCTGGGTATTGAAGTCCACAAGTCATAAAAGAGCCAAGGTTGCCTAGCCCTGGGGTAGACTCATACATTTCAGAAGTGGTTGCTATAGTTCAGTGATGGTGAACCTTTTAGAGACCGAGTGCCCAAAAACTGGCCCCGCCCCCGCTCCACCCCCTGCCCTGCTTCGCCCCCACCCCGTCCTCCACCCGCCCACAAGGCCACTCACCATCTCCAGGGCCCACCGCAGATCGCCCAGACAGCCCAGCAGCACCATGGCCACGCCCTCTGCCCGTGCCCCACAGCATCAACTGTGTGGGATGGGGCATGAGGACAGAGTCTTGTCTATGCTGCCTGGCTGCCATGTCCTTGGCTGCGCTGCTCCGTGTGGGCCACGCTCGGGGGCGACTCTCCTCCAGGGGGGCTGCTGGTGAGGAGGGGGTCGGGGGAGGCGAGGCTGGGGCAACGGCACGTGTGCCCACAGAGAGGGCTCCGAGTGCCGCCTCTGGCACGCGTGCCATAGGTTCTCCACCACTGCTATAGTTGATAGTTTCCAGAATATAGTCTGGAAGTCCAGAAGAAATATGGAATGTTCTGATGTTTCCTGGAATGTTCTGTCTCTAGATGTCTTGAACTTCCCTAGAAATGATATCTAGCAAAAGGAATAATCACTACTCAGTTTGAAGGTATGGTCATAACATTGAAAGCCTTAAATCACCCAGCACCAGGATACATCAAACGATGCCTTGCCAAAATTGAATCTATCCATCCTAGCCAAATTTGGTCACACCGTGAGGGTCTGTTGAAGCTGAAGCTTCTGCTTCAGTTCCGTAAACCAGTAAAAGCTTTTTCATTTCAACATCCTTTTGGTCTTTGCTGATTGACTGTAGACACCTATGTGTTGGCCTTTATTTAGGGTGCTTTATCCACTTTTGGTGTGTGTTTTTGTTTTGTTTTTAATACTATTCTGGATCTAATTGTTTTTATGAAGAGATGCCTTTGTTTGTGGTACATCACCCAGACTCCTTTGGGAGTGAGATAACCTACAAATACTATAAAACAAAACACTTTGCGGTTTTGCTGTTCCCAAGCAATTCTTCAGAAATGTCCCTTTGTGTAAAATATCTAGCATTTTTTATTTTATCTGAATTACTTTAGAGATTTTTTATATAGGTACTAGATTTGTTCATATCTGAATTTTTGGTAATTTATTAAAGATGTTCTTCCACTTTCCTGAAATGTACCCATTTTGCTGATTTTCTTGAGTATTCACATTGATTTTTCTTTTTTACCTGATGTTGTTCCATCCTGCACATTTTTCTTCAAGTATATTTTTCAAGATTAAGGGAGTCCTTTCGAAGTTGTGCAAATACAGTTCCCAGCAGCTGCAGCCCCCATGACAATTAGAAGACTATATAATATCTAGCCATTTGTGTGAAGTTGTTTTGACACTACAATAGACAATGTGATATGCCAACTGCTCACTCTAAAGGATTCTTCCCCTCTCTTTATCACTATCATGATACTCATTATCATGAATATGAACCAGTATAACAGAATGTTGTAAGAGAATTTTCATCTTTTTTCATTCCTCATCTTATGCCATTTACCTTCCCTTCTTTGCGCTAGGACAGATGGGTAATGTTTTTCTAAACAAGTGAAGGGTTTGCCAAAAGCCAATGTTATCTCAAACCTGTTGTTTTGTGCTTTTGTATATTGACTTATATACAGTTTATGTCTGCTGTGACCCATAATTTTTCCCCAGGAATACTACTTATCTGATGTGTTGATGTGATACTTTGTCCAGATCTTTATCTGGCTACTTGTTGTGTTGACGTGATGTGTTGTCCAGATCTTTCTTCTGGTCCTTCATCTCTATATAGAATGTTTTTAATTGTTTCTCAGTTATATTTCGTATTGTTGCTCCCTGCCGTGATTCTTTTAGATTATTTAGAATATTTGCAACCTATTCATACTTTGTATCACCCATGGTAAAAATCATTGCCAAAAGAAACATTCCTTGATTTTTACATTTAAACTTAGATATATTTTTTCTGAAATCCTATACAGGGTGATATTGTATGCCACTAGTGCTTATTAACTGGGGAAAACTACACAAATGTATTTATATTGTATTAATACACAGTTTGACTGAAATCAATTGTTTCTATTCCACCAGGTAGTTCTTTTATAGCAGTACTTATCTTAATTCACCCAGCCCCTTTTATTTATTTATAAATTTTTTAAAGACTCTTTACCCTACGATAACTCTGATATATAACAGGGTTCTTAACCAAGATTCTGCAGAAGCCTAGGGTTCCATGAGAGGTCATTAAAGGTTCTCTGGGAGTTCATGATTTGTTTAAAAACACAAGAACCAAACAAAAACCCTCTAAGCTCCAACATTGGGTTGATCCACTGGAGTGTTTGCCAACCATGGACGGCAATTTTGCATGCAAGCAGGAAGAGTGCATGCACAGTGCCAGCTGAAGAGTGAGAGAAAAGGGAGGAGCAGCAGATGATGAAGAGAGTATGCATCAGAGAGATAGAGAATCTGAGGTCTCTATACCAGGTCTCCCCCTGCTGGTGTGCTTGCCTTCCAGCAGGTGCAGTGGCCCACTGTCTCAAGACAAGCACAGGAGATCGAGGACTGGGCTGGTGCAGGCACCAGTGCAGCACTCCTGCCTTCCTGCGCATGCAACAGCCCAGGGAGCTCTATCTCGGGGCAGGCACAGGAGATCTGAACTCGTTTCCAGTTAGCTTCCAAGTGGGATTCCAAGTGCTAGTATGACTTGACTCCAGAGTATCCTGAGGGCCATCTTATCCAAGTAGACTTGACCAGGGAAACTTATTTTCCCAGGGAGAATCCTCTGATAATCCCACTTTCCGTGAGTTACATAGTAGGGAGGCATATATTTTTTTCTTCCCTTCAGTCATATCCAATTCTCAAAGACAGCCTGGACAAGTCCCTGCAGTTGGCAAAGTTTTTCAAAAAGTGGTTTGCCATTGCCTCCTTCCAAGGTCACCCAGCTGGCTTTGGACTAGAACTCATGGTCTCCTAGTTTCTAGCCTGATGTCTTAACCATTACACCAAACTGGCACTTCATGGAAGCACATAGGGTGTGCTATTCTGTGGTAGCATCTGTACTTCAGAATAGCCTTCTACTTGAATTTAGGTTGTCTTTTATAGTTTTTGCCTTCAGAAAAACTGTTGTGGTGGACCAATGACTAGGATGTCATGCTTTTTAATTTTATGATTTTATAATTTTAAAGATTTTATTTTTTTTTAACTGAGAATGACTTATTTTTTGTTTCAATGATATAAATTATTAATAAGCTTTGAATTGTGAAAGGAAATAGATAAATAAATGAAATGGAGTTTGTAAGACATGAAGTAATGGAAGAAAATACTAGTCATTCTTAAACATGCACACAATAAAAATATATTAGCTTAAGTTCAGATTTTTTTTAAAAAAAAAAATAAGCTGGATTTCCTAGAGATTATGTTTTTTTAAGCGAGTCTAAGCCTGAAGTCCAAATTTTAAAATTAGTGCATTGAAAATAGACCTTTCCTTATAAATCTCTTATTATTTTTCATTCCTCGGACTGAAAATAGCAAAGAAAGATTTTTCATTTACAATCATAGATATCTGAGATAGAATTTTTACAGGAATATAACTTAATTATATTTATATTTTTAATGGATGCAGAGGAGATGATTTATGATGATGTTGAGAATGGAGATGAAGGTGGAAATAGCTCTCTAGAATATGGGTGGAGTTCAAGTGAATTTGAAAGCTATGAAGAACAAAGCGACTCAGAGTATAAAAATGGAATACCCAGTTCTTTTCTGCGTGGCAACCACAGAAGACAAGTATGTAATTCTGATGGCTTTTTCTAGCATATTTGTGCTTCCCAAAGTTGTAGTAGGCCAATGCTTATATCATCCAGTTGCATTACATAATTCCAAGCCATAACAAATACATTAAATGTTAAGCAGTTTTGAAAGAAGAAGTAGAATATCCTATGGCACTGCATAAATCACTTTAAAGTAAATTTTAAGATTGTATCTTTTTGTGTACTGCAGCTTTCTCATGACCTAACCCGTTTAAAGGAGCACTATGAGAAAAAGATGAAAGATCTGATGTCCAACACAGTGGGAGGAGTGGAGATTCAGCAACTAAAGCAAAAACATGAGCTGAAGGTAACATTGATTTTCTAACCAGATCAATGTTAAAACAATTGTTCTTCAGCTGGTGAAAAAAAATTAGCATGTATTCACCCTGTGCTGTTTGCATTGCTGTCACCTTAAAATAATTTTATCAGGGGTTTTATGCCAGCTTTTTGGACTGCTATTTTAATATTTAGGTAATGAAAAATACAGTTAATTTTCTTTCTGGATTTTTTTGCAGTTTAATTCACCTAGATGAGTCGTCATTACTAATGGGATGTCTCTCTGGAAGATCATGTAGATTTTAGCTTTTGGGGGAGTTTGAATAAATGTGGTTGTTGTTTTTCTTTTTCAGTATAAATATCCTTTAGCATTAAATAGTCAACATGTAATTGGGATACCAGCATTACTTTAGCTTGTTATGGAATCAGAAGGGAAAACACTTTCCATGAAGGAGCAGAGAGATTGAAACTGCAAATGTAAATGAAAATTGAGAGCACTGTCCCTGTTTTTCTCTAAATTCAGATATGCCTGGTGAGCTATGCAGGGAAATTCTCATACTGGCCCCTTCCCCAGTTTCTGGATATGAAGATTCGTGCAATCAAAGAAAAGGAGTAGGATGGTTTCTATAAATGTTAATTTGTTCTGCTCATCCCACTTCAAGTGAGATATAAGTTCCATAAAAATAAGCATTAAAAGTTGCAGCAGTGTTTCAAAACATGTTAGTCAAATGTTCTGATCTTTTTGAGTGTATATTAAACTTAACTTGAAGATGTGGTATCTTGATATTAAGATTAAGTCTAGAGAGAGATGCAAGAGGTAGGTATAAAAATGGCAAAGGGGATAAGTTTACTTAAATTCTTTTAAAGAAGTAAAATACTGGAAAATACTGTGTGTAAATTTTTATTATCTCTCTCTATGTATAAATATGGAAGATAACACCATTTTAAAAAGCTGGCATATTAATACCAGGCATTAATCATTTGAGCATAGATTGTTGACTTTGGTTTCCACAATCTGACATTGTTCTTTTTACAAGCAGTGCTTGTCATGTCATATCTGCTATAACATTTGTAACACTTTGAATTCCACTCTGATTACTCACTGAACATGCAGAATCTGTTTGTCTCTATCCTGCAGATGCAGAAGCTCATGAGAGCAGCAAGGGAAGGCACCAAAGACGGACTTGAAAAAACTAAAGCGGCTGTGAAGAAAGGTCGGTCATTCATCAGAACTAAGTCCTTTATTAATCAAGGTATGCACTAATCGTCCACTACTAATTAACCATTTATAGCAAAATAGCATTGAAATGTGTAACTATCTTTCAAACCACATTGCTTCAGAAAACTAAATTAGCTCATAGGTAGCCTTATGAAATATCATCCAGATTTTCAGGTAAGGAAATATTAATTGAACTTATTTTTTGAAGAAAAAAAATAGAATTGAGCTTAAGATTAAAAACTCTATGTGTGTGTGTGTGTGTGTTTATGTGTGCGCGCTTGTGTGCAATTAAATTGAGTTTATTAGCAGAACAATAGAAGTTAACTGAAATTGTTTGAAGTTTCACTCAGAAACGGAAAAGGCATTAATGATCTTGACTGGGATGATAATGTTATTTCTGGTACTTCTGCTATTAAAATCACATTGCTCTGGATGAATATGCTATGGTTTGTGACTGAAGTTGTGAAAACAATGATAGGTCAACTCTGTGATTCAGTTGAGGCAGTTTCTCAAATCAATTCAAATACTCTAAAGGTTATACATACAGTTGACTACTTAATTTTCATTAATGGATGTCTTGGAGGAAAAACGTTGGACTTAACACAAGCACAAACACACAGAGACAAACAACATGCACACCAGCTTGCCACACATGGCAAGCAGTGTTATGCGGAGTGAGATAGTAAGGCGAAGAAAGGCAAGGCATGGCACAGGAAAAAAAGCCCTGTGGTATTATACTTTACACCAGGGGTAGTCAACCTTGGCTCTTTTATGACTCGTGGACTTCAACTCCCAGAATTCCTGAGCCAGCACAGCTGGCTCAGGAATTCTGGGAGTTGAAGTCCACGAGTCATAAAAGAGCTAAGGTTGACTACCCCTGCTTTACACAAACACCATGTACTTTTGCCTCCTCAAATTTTCTGTCCTTACAAACTGGACAAATTTTCTGTCCTTCCTTGCTTGTTCTTATCATGTTTGTTGCCACTTCCCTCACAGCATTTCTTTTAAATTCTCTTCTCAGGATCTCATCAAAGACAAGATGTTCAACTATCAAGTTTTTTTTTTGGGGGGGGGGGGAATTTCCCTTTCCTCTTCTCTTCACATATTTGTTTTGGTCCCCATCTGTGACCAAACTAGCTTGGTGTACCTTTTTCATACTAGTCATTCATATTTGTGTTGTGTCCACATTTATTTAGCATCTGTATATTTTAGAAAAGAACCAATTTGGTGTAGTTGTTAAGGCATCAGCGTAGAACCTGGGAGACTGTGAGTTCAAGGCATGTTAGGCACAAAGCCAGATGGGTGGCCTTTGGCCAGTCACTTTCTCTCAGCCCTAGGATGGAGGCAATAACAAGCCACTTTTGAAAAACTTTGCCAAGAAAACTGCAGAGACGTCTCCAGGCCATCTCTGATAATCTGATATTGTAATATATTCTTGATACATGGTCTTTAAATATCCTGTCCCCTCTGCACTTAACTTATTTTTACTTTTCTCCTTTCCATATTACATGGTGAACAGAAGAATATTCTTAAAGGAGCTTATTTTTGCTTCTTTTGTGAAACATTCCTCACAATGAACTGCATGCTACTGTTACATTTATAGTAGCATTTGCAAGTCTAAAAATGTTTTTTGTGTCCATTTCTGCATCTTTAGTAAACATTTTAAGATACACAAATCCTGTTCTTTCCTCTTACGTTTTTGCCCTTTATGTATAATTGGCAGTTCTTTGCTCCATTTCCATGTCAAACCACTACTTCATTGCAATGCATCTCAGTTAACCTGAACATATCTACGTTAAAAAAAACACACACATGAAAACCCCGAATACATTTTTTCATGCAGATATTATAGATCCATCTAACTCCCCCTTAATGTTAAAACACTTGCTAAATATTCCATTTATTCTTCTACATACTCTACTTCCACCTTGTAATACCGTTAATCACATCCAGAATAACCTTCAATTCTGTAATTTTAAGACTTTTCATGTTGTCATTGCTATCCCTAAACCAGCAAATGTACATTCAACCTCCTTTCTCATTTATATATATTATTTTAAAAAAATATTGCTGTATAAAAATGATTGGTAACTATGTTGAATTTTTCTTAGAACAATGAATGTGGAAATTCAACGTTTTTACTCAATAATGGTGGAACAAATGAAAATATTATTTGAGCAATAAATACTTTTAGGACTAATTATCTTTATATATATGTGGATGAAATTCTAATATGGTTTATTTCTAGAACACAGAGCTACCTGTCTGGAGGAAGAGGAGCTGTTTATTGATGTAGATTGCATTAACACAGAAGCAATCATGACTCCGATGCCAGATGGATTATCCCAACAACAGGTTTGTGTGTTGGATGCTATTGAAATCTAATCCCCAGTCTTTTTGTACATAGCTTAATTTCTAACAGTAAAGTCACTTTGCTACATCTTATGTCTAATTTATGTACATTTGTCTCTCACAAAATTGAAATTCAAATGCAATTAATCGTCTTGATTGTTGAGACAAATCCTGACGTGATAAATCCCTTAAGTAAAGTCTTTGAAGAGAAACTTAAAATACAACTTAATTGCACGAACTTCTGTGATAATTCCATTCAGCTCTGTGTAGACTTATATTTTGACATGTTCTTTCCTGATGGTGATTTTCTTCAAATCTTTAAAATTCAATCTTGTAATTAGTAACAGACTAGTCAATATATTATGGGGGTGAAAAAGATTTAATTCTGAACATGCTGCTGTTTGCCACCAGGTGGCATAGTTAATCACTTATGTGTCTTTTGCTGCTTCCCTAGATAAAGAAATGCTGGATTACACAATTTAGTCCAAGTATGAACTGACTGAAGGTCTGGACTCAATTTAGCACATTAGAAAATAGCTTGACTTTTATTGGGGGATGATTTCAAAGTGAATTTTTTACGTTTTTTAGCTGGTCTGAGAATTCATGAAGACCTCAATGTTTTTTAAGAATTTTTTTTAGCAGAATAGGAATAAACCTGGAGGTCCTCTGTACAAATGGAATTAATCCAGTTTCATGGAGAACATAGAATACTGACTTAAGGAGAATAGAGTGAGATGACATTTGCTGCAAGGGATTGTCCTGAAACAATGTGTGATTGGGGAATTCTGATAAATAATCCCAAAGAATGGAAAGCAGGGCTGTCAATCCCTCGTCTCCATTCTTTGTAGACTTCTCATCTTACCTTTTTTCCTATGGAACTGAGCTAAATGCAGCTGTTACTACAGACCACATGAACCTGCTTCACAAACAATACTAAGCCATTCTTGTGGATTATTCTTCGTTTCCTGTAATACAGGTAGTCCTCGACTTACAACAGTTCATTTAGGGATCGTTCAAACTTACAAAGGCACTGTAAAAAGTGACTTATGACCATTTTTCACATTTATAACCATTGCAGCATCCCCTTGGTCACATGATTTACAAACAAAATCAATGGGGAAGCCAGATTCACTTAACAACTGTGTTATTAATTTAACAACTGCAGTGATTCACTTTACAAATGTGGCAAGAAAAGTCATAAAATGGGGCAAAACTCCCCACTGTTAAGTAACTGTCTCACTTAGCAACATAAATTCTGGGCACAATTGTGGTCGTAAGTCGAGGACTACCTGTAAATGAACCCAGTTATTGTTTAGAAACATCCTGGCAGATACATATAGATATTCTTCCTGTTATATAATCCTAATTTTGTTCAGGTTGCACTGTAGGCATCTACTGTATCTTCAGAGTGGCAAAATCAGCGACATTTCTACATATTTTGCTAGATTTTACTGCACACTTTTTTTTTAGTTCAAAAAGATTTTTTTTGTTAACTGTTAAAACATTTTTTAACTCTTCTTGATAGATCTTATACCATATTCCTTACTGAAATTGTATGCAGTTGTTTGATCAAAATAGTGAACAAACATGACTTACTGGTATTTACAATTGCGGAAACAATGAATGAAGAATCTTCCCCAACCCATTATGTTGGTCTCTCATGTGCAAAATATATATTTCTTTTATTTAAAAGTATAAAAACTCCAATCATGTAAATATATGTTGCCCTTTTGCTGCTTTAGCTGAGATTACTTTAAAACCTACAGGGGCTCTCCATCCTCTGGCAGATAGGATTAAAATAGCTACTGGCACTTGTTCTAGAGTCACAATTTCTCCATCTGTTACCATCTTTGTGGAGAGAATAGTGTGTAATTAAGCAAAGCAGCAAGTTTATTTGTCTGTGAATGTGGGACTCCAGGAAAACGATTTTTATTCGGTGCAGTGCAGACCAAAAGGTAATTCTGGGTATGAGTGACTGGAGGAAAGTTAAATAATATGGCTTACCTCTTTTTGCTATTAGCGACACAAGTTTAAAAAAGGCTGGATGTCAGCATCATGTTAGAATAAGTAAATAATGTGTACTTAACAGTGGAAATGAATTTTTAAAAAAATTGCACTTCACTGTGAGACAGGTATGCATTAAATCATTTTAAATGACAGTACATCTTTAAATTGTTAAATTGCAAGCAATTCTATATTTAAACTCCCTATTATATTTAACCTTAGCTGCTTTCCATAGTATACTTTTTAAGTTGTCCGTTTGCTAGATAAATATGATTTTAGCTTCTGGTTGGTTTTTTCCCCCTCTTAATTGAGCTTACATTTTTGTTTCTCCCCATTTCTTTCTTTTTTTTCTGGAAGTTTTCTTCCATTTTTTTTAAATAGGTAATTTCCCATAAATTACCTACTGTATATACATGCTTGTAGCAGGAATATATAGATGTCCTATATATAGATGCTTGCAGCAGGAATAGTATACACGTAGTCTTCGATTTGCAATCATTCATTTAACAACCATTCAAAGTTACAGTGGCATTAAAAAAGTCACTTATGATTAGTCCTTGGACTTACAACCTCCTGTAGCATCCCCACGGTGACTTGATCAAAATTCAGGTGCTTAACAACCAGCATAAATTTATGATTGTAGCATCGCGGGTCATATGATCATCATTTGTGACTTTCCCAGCCAGCTTCTGACAAGCAAGCTCAGTGAGGAAAGCCAGATTTGCTTAACAACCACATGAGTCACTTATCTGCTGCAGTGATTCGCTTAACAACTGTGTCAAAAAAGATCATAAAACTGGAAGTAACTGCCTTGCTTAGAATGGAAATTCTGGTTCAAATTGTGATTGTAAGTCGAGGCCTACCTGTACATGAAGTTGAAAGATAAGGAACAAGTCTCTGAAATAGTGGAAACGCTTTCACTGAGTTATAACTGACCAGATTTTCTGCTTTATCAGACAGGTGACAAGAGACTATTTGAGGGAGATAAAGTTAATGTTTCTGCAGAGGTGTCCTTGAATGGCAGATTAGGTGTCTGATTGTGCCATATTTAATATTATATTTTAACAGGTAGTGCGAAGATACATTTTAGGCGCTGTGGTTGATAGTGAGAAAAACTATGTGGATGCTCTGAAAAGAATATTAGAGGTAAGTAACTGTCATTTTGAAGCCAAATAAATACGAGGATGAATGAATCTCATTTGTGTAGTTCATTATTGCTGATGTTTTTGTTTATAGTTGTGAAAATAATTCATTTGATTATAGTTTTTGATAATTAGTTGATGTCCTTTTTTTAAAATTTCAGCAATATGAAAAACCTCTTTCGGAGATGGAGCCCAAATTACTGAGTGAGAGGAAACTGAAGATGGTCTTCTACCGAATTAAAGAAATTCTTCAGTGTCATTCAATGTTTCAGATGGCCTTGGCAAGCCGTGTCTCGGAGTGGGATTCTGTCGAAATGATCGGGGATGTCTTTGTTGCCTCGGTATGTGAATGATCATAGCTTTGGGGTCACTTAAGTCTGTTTAATTCACAAATGGGCTGAACAAGTGAAATTCCAAAGAAGAACAAAAGCCTTTGTCCCAAGGTCAGATCGGAATCCTTTGCACTCCTAAAGACAAATGGTGGCAACGTTTTGCTTATTGTGTTCCTAATTTGGTTTTAATTTTATCTTCCTTTGGCACTGGGATGAATTATAAATACTGTGAAGAAAATAAAATGTCTGTCAGGGAATTGTATAGCAGATGTCCAAATGGAGTCAGAAAACACTTGACACAAACTTGTAGTTTTATATAAATAAATATATTTTACATCAATATATACATCAAACAAGATAGTCAGGCAAACAGGAGCATCGTGAGGTAAATCACAGACCACACGGGGCACGCAGAAGAAAAAGACGAGGAAAAGGACACTCCCCCTCCACACTCATAGCAACCAATCACAGCACAGATTGTGTCACTCAGGAGCCAGCACTCTGGTACCAATCAATCACAACTGTGTGTTCTGGCTCACTGCACAACTCCACTGCTCCAGCTAAAAAAAATAAAATATGTTAACAATGTTATCCTCAGTTGTGATCACCATCCCTTGGTTTGGAAAAGTTTAAATTCTTGGCTAAGTGTTATACGTGTATACTTGCAATATTTAGGACACCATAAAATCCGTACAGTGAAATAATGCATTGATACATTTACTGAATGTATTTTTAAACGGACTCAGTTTGGAGTTTGTGCTAATAGTTTCCTAGCAACAAGAAGATTCAATTTTAAGATCTTAGCAAAAGCTACATTTTTTAAACCTTTCTGATTATTAAGTCTTGGATAATGTAGATGACAATTTCAAATGAAAGGTAAATAAACTCAGAAGCTACCTCACTCTAATATCAGACATATTTGTATACTTTTGAAAATATTTTTCCATTGCTAATTGGTTCAGAAAGTTAGGCTTATCATTATTTTAAAAATCTTAACTGCATATCTTTCAAGTAGGAAAAACTAACTGTGAATCCTAAAACTAAAGCCTTCACATCCATCTTGTTTTCTTGGCCAGGATATGGAAGTGATTCCATTCTGATGTATTGTTTGAATTTCTTCTTCCTTTTCATTTCCTATCCAAATGTTGTAATTAAAAGTGACAAAGGTATCAAAGAAGTTTCAGAATCAGATTTCTCAGACCTATTGTATCATGTTTTAAGACTAACACATTATAAGCTTTATGAATTGCATCTCACTTCCTCAGATGGATGGACTCACTTAAATGATACAGCATCTAATCAGACATTTCTTGATTTATTGCTGTCATAGTCTATCCAGGCTGTCCTCTTAACAAAGTATCATAGCATCAGTGACAATGAAACGATGAGGTATAATCTTAAAAGCAAATGCTAAAACAATATTATTTTATGGAAATAGCATGTCTGAGATTTCTTGGTAAAACCTTGCTATTTCAGCCTTTTGTAGAGATCCTTAAAAAGTGACAAATGTTTTTAAATAAAAGTTACAGTTTTTGACTATATGCTGAATATCTTGAATACTCTTTTAGAAATACGTGTTCTGTATTGTAACTGACTGATAATGTGCATTTATTTTTATTGTGTCATTTAGTTCTCTAAATCCATGGTACTAGATGCCTACAGTGAGTATGTAATCAATTTTAGCACAGCTGTGGGGATTCTCAAAAAAACATGTGCTACAAAACCTGCCTTCCTTGAGTTTTTAAAGGTGAGCATTTTGGATTTTGGTTCCTTTGTGATTGTAGACCATCAAAGCAACATGATTATCTGGGAGATTGATTACTTGACAAATACTGAATATCCAGTGTTTAGCTCAGCTTTAAGATTATCCATGAACATGTGTATATGTGTATATGCTTGTTGTTGTTATTCAGTCACTAAATCATGTCAGACTCTTCATGATCCCATCGATCATAGCACACCAGGCCCACCTGTCCTCCACTGTCCCCCGGGAGTTTGCCCAAATTAATGTTGCATCAATGACACTATCTAACCATCTCATCCTCTGCCATCCCCTTCTCCTTTTGTCTTCAAACTTTCCTAACTTCAAGATCTTTTCCAGTGAGTCCTCTCTTCTCATTTAGTGACCAAAATGTGAGACATACATTTTATCTATGCTCCTCTTGAGAAACTCTCAGTGGCTAATATAAGAAAAACCACTTTTTTCATTACAGCAATGTCAAGAATCTAGTCCTGATAGAATCACTCTTTATGGCTTAATGATGAAGCCCATACAACGTTTTCCTCAGTTCATCCTTCTATTACAGGCAAGTCATGTATCAATTCTTAAAATTGCTTGATTTTGCCATCTTCCTTGGTGTTTGCTGAATAGTACTGGCTAAAACACTAACATGGTAATAGGATCTGGTTGTTAGTTGTTTTGTCATTGAAAATCAATTCTATGACTAATTTCTGAGTTGTACCTGAAAGGGCAGAGTTTATCCTTTAGTTCACAGGATTGTTGCCTGGTTTTAGAGTCACCCATGTTGTTCTTTGTATATGACAGTCACAACTTTTTAGCCATTAATTTCCTGGATATTATGTGTTTGCTAGTGTTCTTGTAGAACATTGAAAGGAACTTTAGGATTACTTTAAAACCAACATCACTTTGAGTTTAATATAGGGGTATAGTATGGAGACAGTTCTCTCTGTTGTCTAAGATGGCCCATTTTGTTATTGTCAGATCTGTTGGCCAATTTTGATACTGTTCATTAAGGGTTATTTCTGAGGAGGCTAGTTTGGATTCTAGTTTGGCTAGATGGCCATGCTTTTATACAGTTCCAACCCAGTTTGGAGGACTGGACTCTGTATGTAATGATGAGCATCTAATTTTTAGCTGCTAGATCTCCCTTTGTGGAATTCCACAAGAATCCACCAGCTGACATTTGCACTTAGAAGACCATAAGCTACCTGAAGCTCAACACTGATAATTCTGGTGTTAAATAGGGGTAAATGTCTGAGAAAATGGACACATGAGGTCAGTAACTTGTCATTTCTTAAGAAGCAAGTCTAGATTCTTCCAAAGCTTGAGAGCTGAGTTTTATTTTAGGTCATTGTAGATAAGAGTTGTGATCCAGAGTAGCTTCACTCAGTTGAAGCAACTCTGTTAGGTCTACTCTGCTCTTCCACACAATAATCTCATCATGGTTATGTATGTGCCAGCCATCATATTAAACTACCTCAATTTATGTTATGTTTCCAGTAAGTTTTTAGAAACTTCAAGCAGTAAAGAATACAGCAGGTGGATTGCTGTTTCTTTTCTATCGCTCCATCATGCATAATCCTTCAAAAATTTACTTCAGAGTTCATTTAACTGCATATAAATTTTTTTATGACTCAAGACAACCTCCAATTGTTTTCTGCCACTGGCTGGAATGTGCATGAATGAGAGCTTTCTGATATTAGGGCCTAGGCAATAGAATCATTTTCTTGGTGCGTAGGAGGCTTCAACTGTAGATTATTTTAAACAGCTTTGGAAAGCTTTTAAAATGTGTTAAGTACATTTATTCATTCATTAAATTTTTATGCTGCCCATCTCCCCTATAAGGTGACTCTGGCAGCTTACAAGTTCTAAAACAAGTATTAAAAATAATTAAAACATTAAAACTACACAAGTTCAGATTTTAAAACTATACTGAAACCAGAAGTAAGAGTTCGATGAGACGGGGATGAGGTTTTCTTACCTCGTCAGCTACCTCCAGTAATGTTTGTCCCCCTGGGGACCCCAACAATCTATAATTATTGTATTCACCTGTTTTATGATCCTAGTTAAATGTCTACTAGATATTGATGCAATTGAATGCTATACATGTAAACGAAATTCAGTTATCCTGTCAAATCCTAAGTCAAGAAATGATACAAATTATGCCCTGTTGTCACCTGCATGAAAATTACAGTTATTTTCGAAAATTGTAAGAAAAGAGGAATGGAATGCAAGAACATTCCTGATCTGGTAGCTACAGTGAAAGCAGTGGCAATACAGAGAGTTTACATATTTATACTGATCATGTTAAATTACAGTACCGTAATGTGTACTTGCCAGATTATATCAGACTCTGTTAAGCAAAGAATATAAACTGTTAGTCCTTTGATCTTCTACTTTTTCTGGCCTTTGGAGTAACATCCTTTTGATGAAACTTATCTGTAGTATAACTATGAAGATTGCTAGTACTAAGTTGATTACTATTATTATTAAAGGAGCCCTAAAATTGTTCATTTCTTGGCAGTTACACCAAAGTGCCAGCTTTGCAGATGAGGGAAAATTCAGTTGTAGAAATAAAGGTTGCATGAATATTGGAGAATACCAGAGTTGTTTAAGGGAAACTAAAACAGACTCAAGTCAAATAAGTACCTTGGACTTCAAAAAAGCAGACTTTAATGTTGTCAGAAAAGAGAAAAGTAGGAACCTTTGGAAAGAGAAGAGAAATGAACTCAGTAAGGGTAGGAATTTCTTTAAAAAATGAGACACTAGAAGCCTAATTACAATCATTTCCAATGAGAGGGAAAAATCTCCAAGAACAGCAATAGACGCCCCAAGAAGCTTAATGAAGATTTGAAAGCAAAGTAGGACATACTGTAAGGAATGGAAATAAGATCAGGTCACAAAGAGGGAACACGAACATATAGTTTTGAGCTGGTATGAGGGAAGAGTGGGCTGAGGTTAGCAAAGGATGCAAAATATAAGGCTTCTTAAGCATGTTCAAAAGAAAAAAAACAACACCCTGAATTATTTTATTTCAGTCTCTTGTATATGTGTCATCAGGAAATTGTGAAGGGCAGATTGAAGGTGCAGAGTTGAATCCTTAGAATAATAGAAATGTGGTCAAGGAATATTTTCAAATGAGTTTAAAACTGCAGAACCAGTTGGAGTGCATTCTTTGGTAATGAAAGACTTGAGTGAGAGAGTGAATTAGTTGGTTAGTCTGGCCAAACCCCTAGATACTCGTTTTGAAAAATATTATACAACCAATGAAGTGGCAGTCTACAGGAGAAGGGCAAATTTTGTCCATAGCATTCCAAAATGAGGGGGGAAAAGGATCTGATGCAGTACCTGGGAAGATCCTAAAACAGATAATAAACAGATGGATTTGCTAGCTCCTTGAAATGAATATGGAATAAGACATGGATTTGCCAAGATCAAAGCTTGTCAGACTATTCTTTTCTTGTGATTTGACTGGGCAATTCCTTAATGGACTGTTGTAAACATAATGTACCTTGATTGCAGTGAATCATTTTACAAAGTATTCCATGACATGTTGATCAGCAAGCTAATTAAGTATGGATGACATGATAATTAAGTGAATATATGTAAGCCTGCAGTGTAATACGGCTGTAAAAAAAGGCAAATGAAGCATTAGGCTGCATCAAACTCAGTTAATTTCAAATTATGGGAAATAATCCTTCCATTTATTCTTGTTTGGTCAGAAAAAAGAAATGAGGGACATTGGGAAATTACCGTAAATCTTTCAAAGAAAGATTGAAAAAGCTAGATATCTGAAGGGTCCATATTGCTTCCTGATCTTGGTTGTTTTCTTGCAGACATTTCATTGCCCAAACTAGGTAACATCATCAGTGCTGTGATGTTGTCTAGTTTGGGTAATGAAATATCTGCAAGAAAACAACCAAGCTCGGAGAGCACCAAGGACCCCTCATTTCAATCCTGAGGTACAAACATTCTTCTTTATTAACTAGATACCTTTAAGCTTGTGGGGAAAGAGATGTGATCATATCCTTCAAATGACTTGAAAGAATGTCATACAGGTATTCCTCGTCCTACAGCCACAATTGAGCCCAACATTTCTGTTGCTAAGCGAGACAGTTGTTAAATGAGTTTTGCCCGATTTTCTTGCCACAATTATTAAGTGAATCACTGCAGTTGTTAAGTTAGTAACACGGCTGTTAAGTGAATCTGGCTTCCCCGTTGACTTTGCCTGTCAGAAGGTCACAAAAAGGTGATCACATGACCCCGGGACACTGCAACGGTCATAAATACATGCCAGTTGCCAAGCGTCCAAATTTTGATCATGTGACAATGGGGATGCTGCACCAGTCATAAGGGTGAAAAATGGCCATAAGTTACTTTTTTCAGTGCCGTTGTAACTTTGGTCACTAAATGAAAGGTTGTAAGTCGAGGACTACCTGTACAAAAGAGGATGAAGACTTGTTCTTTCTCAGTGCTGTGGCATAATGACTTTCAGTTACAAGAGGGCAAATTTCATGTGAGCATTAGAAAAAAAATTCTTATGAGCAGTTTGATGTTGGAACCAATTGCCCAGAAACTTTGTAACTGTATTGTACGCTGCTTTCTAAAATTAGGTAAATGTACCTCACTTGACATAGCAGACAAACCCTAAAAAGGATTGAATCTGTAGCTTTGGAAAGGGTAGCTATGAGACAGATATGTTTAAATGTCTTCCTTTTTCTAGTCAAGAAAAATAAGCTGAATTAGCTGGGTCAGAGCATGACAAACTCCCCCCCCCCTTTTGTTATGTCCAGGATATGTTGAAGAACACGACTAAAGGCCACCCAGACAGACTGCCTCTACAGATGGCTCTCACAGAACTTGAAACACTGGCAGAGAAATTAAATGAAAGGAAAAGAGATGCAGATCAGCGCTGTGAAATAAAACAAATAGCCAAAGCCATGAATGAGCGTTATCTGAACAAGGTTTGGAAAATTGCACTTCTTGTTTTTCCCTTATTTCTCTTGTTAAGAATGTTTGTTTGAAATATGTGCACAACTGCATAGCTCACAAAGGTGACTCTGAAACCCAAAATAACATAGTTCGTGAAATCAATATACAAACCATACGGTGACACATGCTGGGGTGGAAAATCCTTTCCCCTCCAATTAGTAAACAAAACAGTCAAAAAAAAGGGACCAGGCCCATCTTTGACCCAAATGTCTGTGCAAGCATCCAGTTCTTTAATGTCTTGTGAAAGGCCAATAGTATCAGAGCCATCCAGATCTCTGAGGAATCCTGTTCTCTGGTGCAGGACATGGTGACAGAGAAGGCATAAGTCCTAGGTCCCACTGAATGACAGTGTATAATAAAGAAACCTAGAGCATGCCAACTCTGCCAGTTCTGATGGATTCTAAAATGTTCAGGCTTTCTTAGATAATTATTCCTAATATGTATTTTATACAAATACATCCCATTTGTTTCATGGACATTAATTGCCGCCATGTTGATAGTACTGAATTTGGTTTTCTATCCCAAGTGGGGAAAAAGAGAGGGGGGAGACCCAATATAGGAGCATGTGTGATGAAGGCTGTATTCATTGGATAGATGTGCAAGGCTCTGAGTGTCTTTCTTACACCATCTCCATTGACATTCTGAAGACTAACCAATTTATTCTCAGGTCTTCTTGAGTCATAACCAAGTTATTGAATGCAGAGAGTAAAGTTGTATGTCAGTTTTTTCCCATCAGAAGTCATCCCATTAGTCCTGACTGATCAGTTACAATTTTTGGGACCAGAAGCAATTCTAGACAACTTGAGCTATAGTTTCTTGTGGGGTACACTCGGGCTAAAAGAATTGTTTGAGAAAGAGCCCTAGATGTAATTCCAGAATGAGGTCAGCCACATTCCAGCCCGTAAAGGAGCTCACATAATTTATTCAAGGCGAGAACTAGGCAGATAGTTGCATACATTAACCTCCCCTGCGTAACAACAAAGCCAGGTTTGCTATTTGACCCTCCTTAGTTCTTAATAGGAGGTTTAAGAGCTGTGGTGGCGCAGTAGTTAAAGTGCAGTATTGCAGGCAAACTCTGCCCACTGCCAGGAGTTTGATTCTCACTGGCTCAAGGTTGACTCAGTCTTCCATCCTTCAAAGGTCGGTAAAATGAGGACCCAGAGTGTTGGGGGCAATATGCAAACTCTGTAAACTGCTTAGAGTGTTGTAAAGAACTATGAAGCAGTATATAAGTTCTATTGCTATTGCTATTAACCAGAGTCCCCATATTTATGTGAAGTTGTCCATGTAGCACAAAGGCTATTGAGATCATCACATCTGTGCTTTTATAGTGCCCCTATTATATATGTAGTTGAGAAACTATAATTCTTTCTTTATTGTTATAGGTCATGATGAAAGTTTTCTTCTTCATTTTATCTTCTCAGAAAAGGAACCATTAATTACATACAATGTTGCCTGATTTTGTCTGGTGGCAATTAAAATTTGCGTACAGATAATTAAGGGTACAGGGCAGTGGTGGGATTCAAATATGTGAACAACCGGTTCTCTGTATGGATGCCACTTGTGGAAGTCCGTTTTGGGCCTGGGCAACAAAAAATTAGCTACTGGTTTTGCCAAACTGGTGCGAACCAGCTGAATCCCACCACTGGTACAGGGTATGAGTAAACCTACTGAGAATTCCTCTTTTATTTGTTTTAATATTCATCTGTTTTTACATCTTTTTGTGGGCCTTCAGACCCTCCCCCTTTAGTCTGTAATCCTACTCTTAACATTACGAATTTATCTAGACAGATTTTACTTTTTTAACATTATAGTATTATATTAGCAATCAGGCTTTTACTTAACTTTTGTCTCTTATAAGTGTCACAGTTATTATTGAAATGAGTCTATTTTTTTCTTTGTTTGTATTTTATGTTGATCGATGACTGAAATGAAGGATTAATTGATTGATTGATACCTGATTATCATGATGCTATAGATACAAAATTGTAAAGGAAGAATTTTATTACATAACAAAATTCTGTGGACTCATGAAAGTGGTTCATATATTTTAAAGCAGAATATATTTAGATGTAAAAATACTGTGTTATGAAATCTTTTTGTATTGTTCAGTTACTCAGCAGTGGCAACCGGTACCTCATCCGAAGTGATGATATGTTAGAAACTGTTTATACAGACAAAGGGGAGATCATGAAAACCAAAGAACGACGTCTGTTTATGTTAAACGATGTACTCATGTGTGCTACTGTGCATATTCGGTAAGATTCTACTCACACACTATAAATAATTGCTAGAGCATAAGAGATAAGACACATGAACTAGGAAAGATTTTGTTTTGGTGTTCTACTGCGAGTCCATTTTACGTGGTTTTTGGTTACATGTATATCATGGATTATAATTCAGGGCTCTTACTTAGTGACAGAGAACATTCATTGTATTGTAAGCAGAAAATCCCACGTTCATCTCTGTGGCTTTGGGCAAAGTTGTAGGGTATTTATATAGATAGATGAGAGAGCGGCACACAAATCTAATAACCTTTGAGATCAAAGGTTGAAAAGTTGTAACTGAATGATTAGCTCTTTCCACTCCTTCCCCAAATAAAGATTTTAAATTAAAGGAACAAAAATAATATATAAAGGGATGCATGGACCTCATGGAAACAAGGATTGAAAGGAACGAAGAGATTTTATTTATTAAGAAAACTTACACGGCTGCCCAACCCACAGTGATTTCAGGCAACTTACAAAAATACGTAAAACCCCAGTATAAAAGCCAATAAACCCTCATATTCCCCTCCCCATGATAACAGTCAAACCACCCACCTGATGGGATCCACATGACCCTAAAGTCGCCAGGCCTGCTGACAACACCATCTCTACAGAGCCTTTTGAAAGAGTGTCAAAGTGAGGACCTCCATATTTCTGCAGGGATGATGTTCCACAGGGAGGGAGCCACCGTGGAGAAGCCCCTTCTTCTTGGTCCTACGGTAGTAGATGGGACTTCTCCTGTCTAATGGTATTAGGGTAATCTAGGCTGAATTGTACTTCCTTTTTTGTCCTACGTGATATTGTTACTGCAACCAACTTCTCTCCTCCCCATCAAATTCCCAATTGTCCACACAAATGAAATTTGCCAGTCATGCAGGAGTAGAAGGCCCTGATGAGATAAGATCCAAAATTTCACAGGACAGTGTTCCAGTACTTATTGCTGGCAAAATTTTGTATTTCAGAAAATAATCTGGAATATCTAGAATTAGAGGAGATTGACACTATACTTCTTAAAAACTGTTACCTCCAAAAAACCAAAGGTGATTGAATCTAGTCTTTTCATTTAAAAGTCCTTTTGTTAACAGTAAACTCTTCCAACTCTAGAATTGTGAGATTAATGTCGATGAAATATTTTGCAGGTCAGCTTGCTACTTTTGGCACTGCTACAATATGGGTGCATCTTTATAGATTTCTTTCCCTTCATTTTTCTTCAAGAAGGGAAATGCATAATGTATGCTTGTAGGGAAGGAAGTAAAAGAATAAAAAGGCTGTTAGATCACATCCTTCTAAATGAACTTTCCAAGCATTTGTTTTGCACTCAGAATCCTCACAGGTATAAATACCACGTTATGTAAAGTATTAAAATGAGCCATGGTGGCGCAGTAGTTAGTCTGCAGTATTGCAGGCTGACTCTGCCCACAGCCAAGAGTTCAATCAAGACCAGCTCAAGGGTTTTACTCAGACATCCATTGTTCCAAGGCTGGTAAAATGAGGACTCAGATTGTTGAGGGCAATAGAATGGCTCTGTAAACCGCTCAGAGAGTGCTGTAGAGCACTATGGAGTAGTATGTAAGTCTTAAGTGCTATTGCTATTGCTTTTATAGAAGCAAGATTATAGAAATAAGGTCTAGTCTCCTAAAGTGGTCAGTATTGAACCACAAGGATTGATAGGACTATCCAAGAAGTCAATGTTCATTTTTATTTTATTTAAGAAAATGTATATGGCTGCCCAACATAGTGTCAGTGATACCAGGTGGCTTACCAAGATAAAACCTAATATAAAGCAATAAAAAACAATTACCCTGATCCCTCTGTTGACAACAGTTAATCAAATAAGCCACTTGAAGGGCTCTATCTTACTCTGGGTTCCCTGAGCAAAACCAGGTCTTCAGGGGGCAATTTTATTTCTGCAGGGATTATGTTCCACAGGGAGGGAGCCACCCCAGAGAAGACCCTTCTTGGTCCCAGTAGATGTATCTCCTTAGGAGAGAGGATCCGCCACATTCCTTACCTCCCCTCTCTGGTAGGTCAGGTAGATGCAACCAGGAGAAGATGGTTGTTATTATTGTTATTCATTACACTATTAGTTAAAGTAGCATTTATTAAATTATTTTCATATAATAAGTGCTTGGGAGTTAATGAAGAGTTTGAAACTTCATGAAGGGATGGATGAAGTGAAGAGTGTGGAGATCCCTCGTCTATGCCAATATGAGAAAAGCACAAGTTTTAAAAATTCACAGTTTTGCGTTCAAACTATCACATATAATGCATGTAAATACACTGGTAGGTTTGAGAGCGCTCTCCCTACAGACGGGATCCTATAATAGTCTTACATATCTGCTGTATTTTGCATCCCTGCTGTGAAATGCCTTGTTCTAAATTTCATAGTCTCATGTAATTATGTGGGTGGCATATATCTGCAAATGTAGATCTCTTGCTACACAGAAGCTCTTATCCAACAGCATTCCTATGGCAACTGAATATGTTCAAGTAAGCAAGCCTTGCCAGGGTAAAATTGAAGTGGGTGGGTGGGTGGGTGGGTGGGTGGGTGGATAGGTAGGTAGGTAGGTAGGTAGGTAGGTAGGTAGGTAGGTAGGTAGATAGATAGATAGATAGATAGATAGATAGATAGATAGATAGATAGATAGATAGATAGATAGATAGATAGATAGATAGATAGATAGATAGATAGATAGATGATAGATAGTATCCAACTGGGGTGGATTCAAGACTCTTCATTCTTGATATTTTGAATTGTGACATATTTCTAGCTAAAATGTTATTGGGAATGATGCCACTAATGTACTTTTCTTGACTGTAATTTATATTGTTCTGAGTAGTAGCACAATATGAGAAGAAAAATCGAAAATCTGCATTCTGAAGATGATTGTGACCATGTTTACAGTCTTCTGTCAAAAACAGACCCTGAAAAAATGCTAAATGCTATTAATAATAATAATAATAATAATAATAATAATAATAATAATAATAATAATAATAATAATAATAATAATAATGATAAAGTTGGAAGGGACCTTGGAGGTCATCTAATCCAACCCCCTGCTCAGGCAGGAAACCCTATACCATTTCGGACAAATGGCTGTCCAGTTTCTTCTTTTTGTTCAATGTTAGATATATCTGACATTTGGGGTATTTAACAGACAGTTTTGTTGTGTACAAAAGCCGTGGTGGTGCAGTGATTAGAATGCAGTATTGCAGGCTAATTCACTGATCACTGCTAGGCGTTCGATCCTGACCGGCTCAGCCTTCCATCCTTCCAAGGTCGATGAAATGAGGACCCAGATTGTTGGGGGCAATATGCTGACTCTGTAAACCGCTTAGAGAGGGCTGTAAAGCACTGTGAAGCGGTATATAAGTCTAAGTGCTATTTTTTCTTTTTTTTCATTGTTAGCATTGGATGTTTGTTTTTCTGTTTTGTATTCTTGTTGATAAATGAAAATAAATATGTTTTTAAAAAGTCTTTGATAAACATAATGAGTCATTATTGGTCATATTATTAGTGATTAATATTATTAATGACTAATTAATAATATTAATATTAATTAGTCCAGTTCTCCTTTTGCTGTTTGCCCCTCTTGGCTTTTTGGAAATTTTTCTGCTTCTCTTTTTAACCCACTCAATTAATACTTTCTTCTCACTTCCTTGCATGGTTTATATGTTCTGGGAATATCACACATACACACACACACACACACACACACACACAGACAGACATTTTGGTGTATTTATGCTTTGCATCTGCATTCAAGATCTTGAAGCAGTTACACAAGGTGTTTCCTCAAAATGCAGTGTCCTGTGGAGCAATGGGAATTAAATGTGGCCTTTTCCTCTTGGATGATAACATTTTGTACTTCATTTAGAAATAAATCCCCTGGTTTTTTTTTCCTGGAAATTTTTGCTCATTAACCAAAGAAGTAATGTAGCAAAACATTTACAGTTAAGTTTGCTTTTGTTTTAAAAATGAGAAAAATCTTCATGACACCTGCAATTTACCTTGTGGTTTTTGTTAATGCTAGACACAAAACAAGGTAGCAGCATCTGTAAATCCAGTTTTGTTCCATTGGGGCTTTTTCTTTGGGCAGTACTTGTAGAATTAGAACACAAAGTTATACACTGGGGAGATTTATGTATGAGAACATTAAAAAAGTCTGAAAATAATAAGAAATAAATGACCACTTTTCATCATTTTTTGTGGCCTTTTTTCAGCTCTTCCCATGAAAGCAGTGGTGTCGTGAGTGGCCAGAGGTACTTATTAAAATGGAGTGTGCCACTTGGGCATGTCGACGTCATAGAATATGGAAGTAATGATGGTCAAGGAGAGAACTGCAGGTTCCCTTTGCAGTCATCTTCTGAGATCATGGTTACCAATGCCAAGCCAAGTAAGTAGCAGCCGGTTATTATTTGTGAATGGGCTTCACAATGTGAATGTAGATGGGCTTGAAATGCTTACGAAGATCTTTACATTAGTTTTTTTTAAAAAGGTTAATACACGTAGTCCTCGACTTACAACAGTTCATTTAGTGACCATTCAAAGTTACAATGGCACTGAAAATAGTGACTTGTGACTCTTTTTCACACTTACGACCATTGTAGCATCCCCATCGTCACGTGATCAAAATTCAGACACATGGCAACTAACTCTGTTCTGGGGTCACCTGATCCCCTTTTGCAACCTTCTGACAATGGGGAAGCCAAATTCACTTAGCAACCATGTTACTGATTTAACAACTGTGGTAATTCACTTAACAACTGTGGCAAAAAATGTTGTAAAATGGGCAAAATTCACTTAACAAATGTCTCACTTAGCAACAACAAATTTTGGGCTCAGTTGTGGTCGTATGTTGAAGACTACTTGTATTCAGAAAACATCTTAAGGATTTCTTATGAGACTGGCATGTATATATTTTGTATCGGTACAGGTAGCCCTCAACTTACGACTACAATTGAGCCCAAAATTTCTGAGACATTTAAGTGAGTTTTGTCCCATTTTACAACCTTTCGTGCCAGAGTTGTTAAGTGAATCACTACAGTTGTTAAGTTAGTATGGTTGTTTAGTGAATCTGGCTTCCCCCATTGACTTTGCTTGTCAGGAGGTCACAATAGGTGATCACATGACCCCGGGGCTTTGCAACCATCATACATACATGCCAGTTGCCAAGCATCTCAGTTTTGATCAAGTGAACATGGGGATGCTGCAACGGTCATAAGTGTGAAAAAAGTCATAAGTCACTTTTTCCAGTACTGTTGTTACTTCGAACGGTCACTAAACAAAGGGTTGTAAGTCCAGGACTACTCATAGTACATATTATGTTTCACCTAGTGATTTCTCTTTCTGTGTTTGAGCTGCATGGGCAATCATTCACACAAGAAGCTTACAACTAGAGCAGGTCACTTAAGCTTCTGTTTTCAGTAGCCGTTGTGTATTAATCTGGATTAACCAATGGAATTTGGAGAATTTCCCATATTGAAATATAGCCACTTAATCTGCACCCTTTGTATCTCCAAGCCTCCGTAGCAGTTTTCCTATTTTTATTTTTTAAAACATTAAATCTATAAATAAGACAGGTAGGGGAAGATCTTCTGAGAGGCATAGTCTGTTTCCCACAATAAAAAGAAAATTCTACTTTTTGTTGCAAAATCAGTTTTACTGTGTAGCTGAAGAATGACCCATCTTCATCCTTGTTAGAAAACTGCCAGAATCAAAGATCAACACTGCAAGCAGCTATTTACTTTGGGCTGACTTTTGGTAATGGGTTAGTGAAATCATTCTTCCTTGAAGTAATGGTTCAGCAGGTGGCAGCACTTGGTTTACCTAGTCGGTACTCAGAAGCTAATCTGGGTTGCTGCCAGTTAGTACTTAGATGAGAAATCTCCAGGATTGTAAATTACACTAGAAAATAAACTATCTCAGAAGAAGCCAGTAACTAACCACTTCCGTAGTGTTGGCAAGAAAACGACATGCCTATAGAATCTTTCAACAGTAGACCTCAATTTGAAGGAGAATTTTCTTTTTGCATTGCATACATTTATCAGTGGTACTCTCAAAATAGCATAAATAATATAAAAAGTATGCAGAGTTTTTTTTAAGAACCCCCTAGAAACAATATAGTCCTATCTGTCTTTTCCATTTCAGTCTAGAATTGAGCACAGCTCCTGTCTGTGTAGTTTATTCCAGCTTTTCCATCTTGGTGTGGTCTCTGGATACTAAGACTAGAAAAATTCCCAGCTATTGTAACCAACTGGCTAAAAATGGTTAAAATTATGCTACTAATACAACTGGGAGGCACTATTTTCTATAAACGTATTGTTCACGTTCTTGTTCTTTATATCTTCTTTATGTAGCTATTTTTGTTTTATTTCATAGTGGTGAGAAGAATAGATGCTTTTTAGACACAAAATGGAGTTGTGGACTACTGTATAGAGAGAGGAGAGAAAGAGAAAGCACCCAATGGTTAAATAAAGACAAGATAAAGATAAAAAAAATAAAAATCTGATCTGATCAGTACCCAAAATGATGGCAGTTAGGGCATACTGTACAATTTAGCTATTGTTGAAATTAATCAACTGGGTGGGTTGCACTTTTATATGATACTATGTGACATTACAACGAACAAAAACATATGAGAGCTGCCTTAGCACCAACACAGTTTGCTAATAACTTTTATGAAGCTATTTGGACTACCTTAGAAGTCATTTGAAAGAGGAATACCAAATTCTTCTTTAGAACCTGTCAAGGTGAAATGTTGGGGCAATGTTTCTCAGACTGTAAGATATGTGGACTTGAACTCCCAGAATGCTCCAGCCAGAGTCATTGCTTTCCCTTGGCCTGTCTTGTGAATGAAAACTTGCAGGAAAGAAAATCCCATTCCTAAAAGCAGAATGGAAAGTTCTAGGTCAGGGGTCTTCAGACTTGGCCCTTTTAAGACTTGTGGACCTCAACTCCAGAATTCCACAACCAGCGTGCCTGGCTGAGGAATTCTAGGAGTTGAAGTCCACAAGTCATAAAAGGGCCAAGTCTGAAGACCCCTGTTCTAGGTGCTGAAAAAACATTAAGTAACCACAGAAGGCCGTTGGCATGGAATCCACATGACTCAGAAATTCTGACCTGCAAGAACAACAGAAGAAATCGCATCAGCACTTTGAGATTTGAATGAACTTTTGTTGTACAGTGTAAGAATTAAATGCACACAATAGCTGGGCTCACACATTGCACTTCGCCTAGATATGACTTGTTCATAAATGATGGCTTATTACGCTGAGTTGAAGCCAATTTTGATCTATGCTCTCAGCCATTAAGCAAACAGTAGCTTACTGTGATGCACGAAGCAAATCAGTAAATATTTGCAACCTCTTCAGTTTCTTGGAGAAAAACAACAGTTCTGTGCTTCTTTTATAGAGATGATTAGATTTTCTAAGAAATGTGAGGGGTTGGGCATTTAATTGATTGTAATGAAATAAAAAAAGTAGTTATATGTGCGTGATCTTCATTTCACAACATATGTTAAATTCCGTGGTGCCTTCATAGCTCCCAGGCTGGTTATGCTTCCTTTAACTGATCTTTCCACCCACCTGCATTTAATATCATTACCTCTTCCCTTGAGACTTGTGCTGTTACTGTGCAGCTTGTGAAAACATAGTGAGCTTTTGTTGTTGTTAAAGAGCACTGTAGAGAGTGTACACTTAGAACAATAGGATGTGCTTTAATGAAGACAAAGAGGCTTTAAGAGCAACGGAAGGTCCCACGTTATTATTCTCACTAGCTATAGTGTGGTGGTAGGTACACTGGGATGGGTCTCCCAAAAGAAAAGTCTCAACACGAAAGAAAATTTCTCTTGAGATCAAATGCCCTATACCAGGGGTAGGCAACCTTGGCTCTTTTATGACTCGTGGACTTCAACTCCCAGAATTCCTGAGCCAGCCATGCTCAGGAATTCTGGGAGTTGAAGTCCACGAGTCATAAAAGAGCCAAGGTTGCCTACCCCTGGTATAGGCAGTCACCAAGAGTCTAGACTGATTGATATTGATACTCCCATTTGTGAGTGGAAGTAATATACGTAGTCATTGACTTAGGACTATAATTGAGCCCAGAAATTAAGCGAAACAGTTGTTAAGTGAATTTTGCCCCATTTTAATGACATTTCTTGCCACAGTTGTTAAGTGGATTGCTGTACTTGTTAAGTTAGTAACACAGCTGACAAGTGAATCTGGCTTCTCCATTGACTTTGCTTGACAGAAGATTGCAAAAGGTGATGACCTGACCCTGGGACATTGCAACCGTCAAATATGAGCCAATTGCCAATGGTCCAGATTTTGACCATGTGACCATAGAGATGCTGCAATGGTCGTAAGTGTGAAAAAACGTCAGTCAGTTTTTCAATGCCATTGTAACTTTGAGCGGTCACTGAACAGATACTTGTAAGTCAAGGACTACTTGTACAATAATCTTCAGGTTTCTAAAAGAGGTCATCTAGAGGAGGGAGTGAACTGTTCTCTGTTGTCCTGTAGGGTAGGACTAGAAGCCCTGGGTTCAGAAAACAGATTTAGATTAGTTATTAGGAAAATATTCCTGACAGGAAGAGCTCTCAAAGAATGGAACAAGTTTCGTTATGAAATGGTTTCTTCCCCTCATTGTTCATCTTCAAACAGAGACTGCATAATCATTTGATGTGCTGTAATACAGGGGTCCCCAACGTGTGGGCCATGGCCCACTATCAGGCTGTGGCCTAGTCGACACCGTTGCATGTATGTCTGCGTGTGCATGCGCATGGCCCCACTCATGCAATCAGCACCGCAAGCGTCAAGGGCGTTTGTGGCCCCACTTGCACGAGCGTCGTGAGTGTTCGTGGCCCCACTCATATAAGCGCCTCATGGGCGTTTGCGGCTCCACTCGCGCAAGCCTTGTTGCGGGCGCTTGCACCTCATTCGCACAAGTGTTGCCACAATCGTTGCAGGTGTTTGCACGTGCACACATGCACCTGCCCCTCCCACAAAATCTTTCCCTCTCCTCCCCCACTCCGGGTTGCCATTGCTTTAATAGATTTTACATTAAGCAAAGGGTCAGGCTAGGTGACCTGAGGTACCTTTCCACGCCATGGTTCTACGTACTGTAAGATTTTTAACATCACAACTTCTACTTGCTTCTGAGAAAACTGATTTAGCTTCACTTTGCCAATTTTAGGGAATGTGTGAGTTACATAATAGATTAATAGAGAAGATTAAAGATGCTTTTCTAACCTTAGAACAATGTTTAATTCCCCAAATCACTGTATTTGCCTCCCTAAAATTAAACATGATTTGATCAGATTTCAGTGTCACTTTAATTTCCATCTTCATTTGTGAGCTTGTTTAATACATAATCATGTTTCATTCCAACTGAGAACTCAAGTT